ATGTATATGTATATGTATATGTATATGTATATGTATATGTATATGTATATGTATATGTATATGTATATGTATATGTATATGTATATGTATATGTATATGTATATGTATATGTATATGTATATGTATATGTATATGTATATGTATATGTATATGTATATGTATATGTATATGTATATGTATATGTATATATATATACACACTAGAACTATTAATTAATGATTAATTAATCATTTACTAGTTATGGAAATTAAAACTTGTTGTGCTATATAAGAAAATACACTATGTTTTAGTACTATCAAAGTAAATTTCTCTATTTTCATTTATGTTTCTAATAAATTTCGTGTGTTTATTATTAGGTAAATTTTTGTCTTATAGTCGCCTCACTTTCTTTCCAATGACGTATGTGTATGCAAAAAGATTCGTTGGACCACAAACTCAAGTTGTTCTCTCTTTAAGACAAGAGCTTTACACCCATCCTTACAAGGAGATTAAATGGAATGACCTTCGTTTCATGTGTGCTAAGGTCACATATTATTTTTATTATTTACATGGAAATTTTATATTGTTATTATTCTTAAATTGAGACCTAATATTTGAAGTCCACAAACTTGACATGATATATTGAAAAATTCATTTTCCTTTTTGTTTCTTATAATTCTAGGAAGACATTAATTATCCTCTCAATTCAATGCCATTCTACCTCTATGAGTTTATACAATATTTCGTAGAGCCTCTCCTAAAGATTTGGCCATTTTCAAAGCTGAGAAAGAAAGCCCTTAAGATGGCAATGGACCACATTCATTATGAGGATGAATGCTCCAATTACATGTGCATTGGAATTACAATAAAGGTGAGCTTAAGACCATAAGTATATTTCCACCAATATATTTATTTTAGTTATCACTCTCTCGATCCAAAATATTTTCTATTTTTCTATTTTTGGTTTTTTCTAAAATTCTTCTTTGTTTCGTTTAATGTAATATTTCTTGGCTTAAAACCTAAACTATGCTATTTATTTTTCTACTCAAAATAAGTACTTCGTTCGTCCCATATGTCTTTTCTCATTTTGACTTTTACAGTTAACTTTTTTAATTTCAACATAAATTCTGGTAAGAATATATTGAATTGTGAAGTAAATTTAATATCAATAGATTCATTTTTATACGTAGTTTTTGAATTTTTTTAAATCTATAAATATATGCAAATAAAGATATTAAGGGTCAAATTATTGTATACGAGACCGTGAAAAGTCATATGAGAAGAAAAATATAGGATAGAGAGTGTAATAAAAATAAGGAAGGGTGTAGTAAAAAAGGATGGATGCAGTACTAGGTAAGGAAATTGTTATTTCAACCCATATAAGATGCTAAGATTGACACGATCGCATAATCATATAACACAAAAACCGTTATTGTCTCTAATACATTCGTTATTTTTGAGACCCATTAGTGATGTTAAGCTTGGTATCATTAGTAATATAACCATAGCATGAACCGCTAATTAATTATTATCTATAATTACTTGTCTTTAAAGACTGCATGCATTGTTGCTTGTTGGGATGAGGATCCAAACTCAGAGGCATTTAGAAGGCACCTTGCTCGACTCCCAGACTACTTTTGGGTAGCCGAAGATGGCATGAAAGTGCAGGTTTTGAATGATTCTTTACTAATTCAAAAGTTAAAAGAGGAGTTAAAAGTAATACTTGCATGAAAAAAATTAAATTATGGTAATGGTTTTGATTGTTGTAGTGCTTTGGAAGCCAGATGTGGGATTTGTCATTTAGTGTCCGAGCAATACTTTCAAGCAATCTTAATCAAGAGTACTGGCCAACACTTAAAAGGGCACACGAGTTCTTAAAAGCTTCTCAAGTTAGTATTTCATATCTTCATGAACTCATTTGCATCATTTTCCCCTTATTGATCCATCAACACAAAATGTATCCAAACATTATTATTTAAAATATTCCATATTTTATAACTAAATTTTACATTATTAGAGTACAAATTTTGTGAAAGTATTGTATCCATGTTTTAACGTGAACCCCGATGTATGGAGTATATAATACTTATGTATGAAAGGCTATAATTTGCCACTAAGATTCGAATAAAGAATTGACAATCACATTCAAGTGGAGGAAACATTTAAGAATGAAAGTTGGGGGGTGGCAAACAGTCCTAGAACTATTCTACTTAAAACTTGGAGTGGCTTAACATCTTATAAATTTATGAAGTTTCAACTATCTTTTGTATTAAGATTAGAATTCAATATTTCTAAAATATATGTGAAGAAATTTTTTTCTATAAAATTTAAGATGCGTGAAAGTCTCTAGACTATTAGATTGTTACACAACATTCTAGAAACATAGTCTTGATGATTAGTATAAATAGAGGTATGAAGTGATTGAGGTAGCTAGTTGTCTAATTTTATTCTTTGTTGTACATTTCAATATATAATACAACACTAATCTGATGTCGTGCCTTTGGGTTATTGACTAAATGTACATGAGTTCATTAGTGCGAATTAAGGAAAGGATTAGTCATACATATTATTATCCAATAATTCTAATCAGAGTCAGGGTTATCAAACATGGATAAACAAACAGATTTTATTGCTTGTAAGATCTTGTATGTACATGATAATAGAGTCGAGTAATGCAACTTTCATTGAGCACATATTTCCGTTAAAATTGAGTGACAAAGCAAGTTCATCAAAATGATTAAATTCTAACCTACATGTTGGAATTAGAATCTCGATCTCTGTCCTTTCCGATAGAGAGCAAAAACGAAATTCTGACATGTTTATTAGAACATGAACCACAAGCCTATCACGAAGCAGTGACTTCGTGAGAAGGACCTCAATGGAAAGAGGCCATTAAATGTGAAGTTCATCTTATCTTACAGAGTCAAACTTCGGAGTTAGTGAACCTACATCGATAATGAAAATCGATAGGTTTTAAGTGGATATTTAAGAAGAAAATGGAATAGATGGTTTTATTGATAAGTATAACTTTGATGAAGTCTTATAATTAGCATTTACAATCAATGTGAAAGCTTTGATTTCTTTGATCTCTATGCTCTTGTGAGGAGGATATATCTCATTTGGATGATACCTATGCTCTTTGTGAAACTTAGACTTTTATCATATGAAAACAACTTTCCTTAATGGAGATCTAGACGAAGAGATCTACCTGGAACAACCTGAGAGGTTTAAAGTTCCTGGTTAGGTGATAAAAGTCTGTAAATTTGTTAAGTCATTATATGATCTTAAACGAGCGGAAAAATAATAACATGAGAAGTCTGACCGAGATTAATGAAGTAAATAAGCGTGTCATGTCTATATAAAAGACATGTCCCAAAGGTATGTCATTTTATTCCATTAGGTAAATGAAATAATCATAGTGGGTAGCAATGACAAGATGGACACGTCCATGGGTCTAGCTATGTAATTCTTGGAATATGAAATTGTGAGAAGACTTGATGGTCTCACTTTTAGCCAATCCCATTATATTAACAAAATCCTTGACAAGTTCAATAAGGATAGTATCGAAGTACCTAAGACACTGTTGGATGTCATTGCGTAGCTGGCTAAAAACTAAGGTGATGGTAACTCTAAAATTGAGTATGCGAGAGCTATTAGAAGTTTGAGGTATCTATCAAGCTACACTCAGTAAGACGTAGCTATGTCATGAGTTAGTTGAATAAATATACGAGAAATCTGTGTATTGAGCACTTTGAAGGCTATTGTACATTTGATGAGATACCTATGGCATACATGAAATTATGGCCTACGCTACTCGAGATATCCACCAATATTGGAAGGACACATGGACGCGAATTAGATATCCAAAAGTAAAGGCTCGAAATTCATAAGTGGATATGTTTTTACGCAAGTGGGTGTAATAGTATGATTGAGATTCTCAAAGAAAACGTTTATTGCTAGGTCTACTATGAAATATAAGTTCATAGCTCTAGATAAATGTGGTGAGAAAACTAAATGACTACGCCACTTCCATGAGAACATTCCAATACGGGACAAATCGGTCCCACTATATTGCATATTTTATAATTTTCAGTCAACAATATAGGATATGCAAAGAGAAACATATACAATGGTAGTGAACACATATTCATCGCAAGCACAACACCTTGAGACAACATCTCACTCTCAGATTATCACAATTGACTATGTGAAGTCAAGAGATAATCAAGCAGATCTCTAACCAAAAAGTTAAGAAATGAATTACATGAGAAGTTGGTACCAAAATATGCTTCAGGCCCTTGTACTAGAAAAGTCTGAAAAAAACTTAACCTAGCTAGTGTAAAACCTCGGATGCTACCAACTCTCCCAAAATCAACCGGTGTTAGGAAATGTGCATACCCTAGCCTTATAATACATTTAACATAAGCAAGCACCCACGAAATTCGAGTGTGACTTGGCCCACATAGCCTTCGCTACGAGACAATTGATCCATACATAGTCAACAATCCCCCCTCAACATGAGAACCAAACTTATGACCTTTGATCTAATAGCACTTGTAGAATCTCACGCACTACTAACTCTCCTAAAGCCAACTGGGGTTAAGAAAAGCATATACTCTAGCCTTATAATACATTTGCATAAACACGCACCCATAACATTTGAGTGTGACTTGCCTAAATAGCCTGTGCCACGGGATAATTGATGCACACATAGCCAACACCAGGTACCCAAGTTCAATAAGACAACCTACTTGTGGAATGAAGCACAGTTATTGTGGGGACGATGTTGATATCCCTGGCTAGACCCCCTAGTTTTTGCTTTAGATAATGGCCCACGAAAATGATTAGGTTATCATATAAATATTCTTTAATGATTCTTGAACATTAGACATAATATTTAAGTGGAGTAATCGGGCAATTCATTGAAAAGTCACCTATGTAAGAATGAAGTGTGTTCACTACGAACAGAGGATTCAAGGCTTAATCTGCTACACACTCTCACAGAACCAGGCATGTGTCGCATGAGCAAAATGGGCATAACCATGAGATTGAATCAAATTTTGGCCAGAAATTGTGTATGGTATGCTATTGTTTACACAAATGATAGTATCGTTCAAAGACATCGCTTTATACTAAACAATCAATAAGGAATGCATACTGTACAAGGGACAAGTCCAAAAGTCGAGACACTTGTTCTTTGAAGGCTTTTAGCCGTGGAAGTTTTCAACCCCTCCATCCCCAAATCAATTTCTCACACATGTGGGGGATTTTTGGGTTTTTTTGGCATATAACATGCATCTAATGGACCAACTTCATATCTAATTATCAATTTGGTCATCTAATGGCTTTGACCGTTATATAATGGATGAGTTTTTTTGTTCGAGTTTTAGGACTTAGTTAAAAACAATCATTTCTTCTACTTGTCACATTAACTTTGAGAATCATTTTCTCATTCATCTGTTCACCATTTATGTGTATAATATATTGTTGGAACACACTTTCTTATTCACATTGAACTAAAGTTTGTGTTAACATTTCCCTCCAACGATTAGAATTTTAAATATTTTTGACAAAGAATATTCAGTAATCAATTATCAAGTTGTGATAATTGACCATCACACTATTTTATTCAAAATATTTATCTTGATCCCTTTGGATGTTTATGCAATGGAAAACCCTCCTTTTAGACTACAAATAGAGCCCCTTTAACTCTCATTTTACACACAAGTTTTCATCATTTCAATACTCTTTCATTGCATTAATTCATTACATATTTTTAAGACGATAAATGGATAGCCGAAAATTTGATTAGCATCCGCATTCGTATCTGTTTATATGGAAAATATCCACATCCTTTAAAATGGTTATTATCTATATTCCTTTGGTAAACGGATACGAATTTGATAATCATACACTCGATCCATTTAAATCCGCACTGCATAGACATTTCTTTAAGTAACTATTTATCCGTGTATCTGATTCTTTATATATTGTTTTACCTAATTTTTTATTTTTATATTTTTTTCTATTGACATCTCAAAGTATAAGACATTTTTTATGCAAAATATATGTGTAGACACATAAAAATATGTGTGTATGTGTGCTGTGTATATCTTTTTACCATATGGAGTTGTTGTAGAATACTATAAATTACAAAAAATAAGAAAAAAACTATTCCGCAACAAACTACAGTTGAATGAATAATATTTTGACTTTAATTTAATTGGAAATTAAAGTATTGTTCAATTTGTCTTAAAAAATTGGAAAGAGATATAGATATGTGATTGATATCTCACGAATACTCATATGATTTTAATTTTTAGTATCCATCAAGATCCGTATCCAAATTTGATATCTGATAAAAATAAACGGATATAAATTTGATAACGGTATATCCGATCCAATTAATATACGTTTACACTCCTATATATTTCATAACTTTTGAGAGCCAGCTCTTGAAGATATTGTTGTGTTTTTTAGCATTCTTTGTTTCACTCATTAATACTCCTAAGGAGAGTCATGTTCTTGAGTGTTTAAGTGTTATATACATGTAAAGGGAGGTTTATTCCCTTTTTGAGTTTCAAAGGAAGCCATTATTTATCCGGTTGAAGTCTTAGAGTGCGGTATCTTCGAGCAAGCGGTATTGACGCTCGTGTGAGTCAAGTGCTCAGGTTATACTTGATTTATGGAACAATTTCAAGATTAATGAAGTTAGTAGGAGATTCTAGAGAGTCTCTCGGGGGCTAGACTAGCCACAAGTTTTGGTGGACCAATATAAAAATGGTATGTTCTTTTCCTATGCTTTTAATTTTTCTAGTACTTGACTTAAATGCTATTCACACCCCCTCTAGTGTTGGGCATCTAAAGAGGGAGGCTTTAGACTCTATTCAGCTTGAGGCCTGGACCCCAGGAACTTGATCTCAGCTCTAGGTCTTAGGACCACAAGTACTGTGCTTGACTTAGACCCCTTTGTCAGCTTTGAATAAGTGACCTTGATCTCATGCACGGCTGTGAGCAAGTTACCTCAATCTCATGTTCAGCTATGAGTAAATGACCTTAACATGAGCATTATGCTTGACCATGGACAAAACCTCTTCTAATTTTTTGTGTTAAGTTTAAATCTGTCTGTTATTTCTGAGTTATCTAGCCATTAATCTCCAATCTCATAGTGGGGTCATTAATGACAATCATACTAATAATTACTATTAATGTAAATCGTACGAAGCCTCCTTATATATACAAAACCATCTTGTTGTCTCAAAAAGAGTGAGTGGATCATTTCAAAGTCTGAGAGTATAAGAGAAAGCGTAGTTATGGTGATCCTCCATGGTTTTTCGTCAATGATAGTCCTTTGGTTGTTCTCGTTCACCAGTAAAACCTTAGATTATGAAAAGTTGTGCGTTAGTTGTTTTATGATGGGAGAAAAGCATTCTCGTTAGGTAGTATGCTAGGGAGGAGCTACTAGCTTAAGGAAAGATCTGGTGACTCTCCTTTCCTTCTCCTTAGTTTTAGGTGATCCAATTGTTTTTTCTTATACTCTTGTCGTCTACTTTATTATGGCTACCCTCTGATCTACTGCTATCATCCTCTACTCTATAGTTCTTCAATTTATTTCATATTGCAAAATCCAAATATTTAATAAACTCGTATTTGTTTATTTATTGTTTTGACACACAGCCATCCGCCTACCCATCTTTGTAATTAATTTTTCAACAATTTCAATACCTATTATTTTTCCTTGCACGACTAACTTCCACTTTGGTCGTGAGAGCTTCCAATGATTTGTGCTACTCTATGTGTGACTAGTAGGAAAGATTAGCCTAGACCTTCCGTACACTCTTGGAGAGAATGATACTCGAGAACAAACCAATATTTTGAGGAAATTTCACTTTTGTTTTACTTGAATGCCAAAGAGTTCAAATTTATTCGGTTTTTAGGCATCCTCAATGACATAAAGAAGTTGAAAGAAACATAAAAATGAAAGGGTGATGCTGACTTTCATACTAATGTGCTAAGTCATGTTGATGACTGTGAAATTTAGTCAGTAGAAACTTAAGAGGTTGCAAAGTCTTAGTGGATTATGGATGATTCTACCTTGATGCATATTTTTTTATATCAAGCTATGTTCGACTCCTTAAACATTTAGGTAGAATTTGGTCACTTTAAGGTGATTAATGGTGAGAACTTAAAAGTTGAAGGTACTAGAAGTTAACGTGAACAATGATCACCTTGAATTGCGGGAAGGGGGAGGGGGATATTATGAATAATAAATATAATGCGAAAAAGAATATTATTATTGTTTACTTTGTTTATTCTATTGTTATTATAATTCTTAATTTTAATTTGGTTTTATTCTTTATGTATCCTCTATATATATTGATATAACCCTCATTATTCAATTAGGCCAATAATTATTAAATTTTATCACTACTTTCATAAAAATAGTCATCCCGTCCTTTAGTGTTTGTCGAGTTTTTTCTTTTTGCCATTAACCATTTTCAATATTCGATCTATAATTAAATAAAATATATATTTTATATTTATTTGATAAAATAATATTATGAAAATATTTTATTAAATAAATATAATAAAATTAGTTTTCTATCAATATCTAATATCACTTATATTTAATTTACGGTCAAAGTTTACATACTTTGACTAAAACAATTTAAAAGAGTACAAACACTCAAGGATAGAGAGAATAAGTTTTTTGAAACATATTATACCAAAAATCATGCCCCCAAGAGAGCTCTTATTTTATAGAGGGACTTTTATACTTAACATTACAACTTCTATTTATGGAGGTTGTCATTTGATTTTCTAAATAATTTTAATGCACTTAATATATTAATATTATCATAAAATATAAAAAAATACTTTAATAATATTATTTATATAAATATTAAAATAATATGTGAATATGACTTAAAAAATAATTTAAAATAATAAAATACTACAAATGTGCAAAAAATAAATGACATGGTTGGAGAGAAGTTGAAAAAAATAAGTTGCTAAAATAGTGTTCAAGACTAAAATTTCTTTTAGCTTCCCAAATTATAGCCAATATGAGGGTTTGATATCTCCATCAACCACCACTAACCATCGACTTCCGTTGTCACCGATAACCACCCTCGTTTATCACTAGTAAAATCATTCTTTTAAATTTTTCTGTGAACAAATTTCAGATCCCCTATCATTTTTCCATATTTTAGAGCTCATATTATGTCTTATCTCAAAGCTCAATGGGCCCTTACTTTTATGGTTTAATTTGTTCCTAATATCATATTTCGTAATAATTAATTTTTGTAGGTAATCTCAAATCCCCCCAGAGAATTTCAAGAAAAGTACTATCGACATGAGAGCAAGGGATGTTGGACGTTCTCAAACCAAGATCATGGCTGGCAGGTATCTGATTGCACAGCAGAAGCCCTTTTGGTATGCTTTCGCTTATTTCCTTTCATCTTTTTCCACACTCATTGGCCCTTTTGATTGGTTTTTTATATGAATTCTTTAAAGCCTGGTTTCAGCAAATAGTAATGTAGTGTAATTTATATATGTTTCTAATCAGATTCGATCTGATTCTAATATAAATAAGTTATAACTAAAAAAGATGAAGAGAACGGTACCTTAGTTTCTTACCGCCAAATGTTCTCTTCACTTGGATCTATAAACACTCTTCAGAGTTTGGTACTTATGAACGTGTGCCCCATGTCTATGTGGAATGTGGGAACAAATTAAATTTTAAGGGCATTTAGCATACATGCACCTAACAAAGAACGAAAGGATTGGGATCTCAAAGATCAATCGGGATTGGCTAGCATTGAGACACGAAATATTAGAACCAAACAAGTCCTTGAGACTTGTCTGGTCTAAGACTAATAGTCTCAAATGGTGTTTAATTTGTTAGGAGGACTAGGACTATTTCGAGACTAGTGTAGGACATGTTGGGAACATGGACCGATTTGCAATTAGTAGAAGACTGGTCCAAAGACTAGGGCTAGTTGAAAAACTTGGTCTGCCAATGCTTACCTAAGGAAAATTTAGAATGTTATATTAAGTGGTAGTATAATATAGAATATTTAAGTAATTACTCCCTTTCGTCTCGGAATAAACTTCCCAGTTAACTTTTAGTTTCTTCATTTTTATTGGAAGTTGACTATATGTGTAATTTGTCCAAGATGCCCCATGCCCTACCTATACCACCCTCTTCGTGGCCCACTCGCCACCACAAAAATAAGAAGAAGAAGATACATGAACATAACTACCGCTAGAGATTTGGCATACAAAGAATTAGGAGAAAGAAGAAGAAGAATACTAAGATTCTTACATCAATTTCACTTTGAGCACCTACGATGCTTTAATCGTAAAACTGATTGTTCCCATGCCCAGTAACCCCCTACGCTAACCCTTGCCCATCGTGTCCCTATTCCCTAACGCACCCTCGAACGCTCTGAAATTTCACCACCCTTCTTATTTCACCACCCATATGTTGTTGAATTTGGGGTCAAATAAAGTCAAGAAAATATGTGCAATGCAATTAGAGGGGGTGTGGCGGTGAATTTGGAACATTATGAGCAAGGGGAGTTTATCGAGGTGTTAGATGGGTAGGAACATTCAATTTTGCAATTAGAGTACCGTAGGTACCCCAATTGAATAGAATAACAATATTACACCAAATATTTGGTGTACGATTACCCCCTCTTATACTTAATTCAATAATGACTTTCTTTTTATAACTTTCAGCACAATTAGAGCATTACCTTAACTTAAAAAAGAAACCCTACTTTCATCTAATAATCCAACACGAGAGGAGATTAAGTTGAAATTACAAGAGAGGATATAAGAAGATCTAAATGTATTGCACAAGAGAGGAAGATGGTAGCGAGAAACATCCTCTTAAGATTTACTTTGATTCATAGCTTGTGCGGTTGAAATAAGTGTAGTTTTAATAAAAAAAATATTTAGTCAATGTTGAGACTATAAGTCGATATGTATTGGACTGAAAGTTCATGGGGGTGCAGTGTAAATCACCAAATAAAAGCTATGCAAACTAATCAAACAAATAGGTTGCTGAGAGGATCATGCAGCATTGTCACAAAAACATAGGACAGATAGAGTGCTATAACACCTTCTCCATCACAGGCACACACATAAAAGTAGATGACGCATGGGGTGTTACCCATCTACTAGAAAGAATACTCTAATTATAAAAACCACAAAGAATGACACCAGATATGTTTACGTAGTTCAGAGAAACTCTCAAAATCTATGGGGCCTATGTTCATGTTATAGCCCTCCACTAAACCACTAAATGTAATTTACGCTGGTACATAACAACATGATGAGACACACTTTTTTGAATTATTATCACAAAAATTTTAATCTAGGATTTGTAACGCAAACCCTGTTCGAATCCGCTTTGGTTATCACATCTCCATTGAGATCAAAAGGAAAATAATGGTTGGCAGCCCACACGTTCAGCTCTGATTCATATTTTGGATGTTACGATCTATTTGGCATTGAAGATCTCCTTCTGTATGTAGATTGTAACTTTCTTCACACAAGGATAGTGAAGAATTAATATTTTCTGTATTGATCTTGTGGAGTCAAGCCCCGTATATATACAAAATCACAAGTCTCCTAACTATGGTAGGATATAAACAAGGAAACACTATACAAAGGAAACCTACCATATATAAAAGATATTAAATATACAATAATATATTTAATATGCTGCCAACTACGTGACCGGTGAAGGGCAAATGCCAAGACTGTGCGTGAAGTCGGAGAAGATGAGAGAAGGTATCCCTTTGGTGAAGATGTCAGCGTACTGGGAGGAAGAGGGGACATGGAGAACACGGACCTGTCCTAGAGCAACTTTGTCCCTGACAAAGTGTATGTCAACCTCTACGTGTTTTGTGCGCTGATGCTGAACTGGGTTGGTCGATAGGTACACAGCACTGACGTTATCACAGAAAACCAGGGTGGTGCGGCGCAGAGGTTGCTGTAACTCGAAAAGGAGATTTCGGACCCAACTTGCCTCAGCCACAACATTTGAAACTGCTCGATATTCGGCCTCAGCACTCGAACGGGATGTGGTGGCTTATCTCTTAGAGGACCAGGAGATGAGGTTGTCACCAAGGAAAAGACAGTAGCCGGAGGTAGAGCGACGAGTGTCAGGACACCCTGCCCAATCAGCATCAGAGTATGCCTGTAAAGAATCAGTACGTGTGCGGTGGAGAGAGATCCCATGAGTGGTGGTGCCGTGTAAGTAGCGGAGGACACGCTTCATGGCAGTGAGATGAGCGCTGCGGGGGGCATGAAGGTGGAGACATAGCTGCTGTACGACATATGTGAGATCCGGCCGTGTGAAAGTAAGGTACTGCAACGCTCCAACAATGGACCTGTTTGAGGTGGGATCGGAAAGTGGTGTGCCAGAGGAAGCCCCGAGTTTCGCCTTTGTATCAACAGGAGTGGAGATGGGCTTGCAGTTGAGCATGTCCGCACGTTCCAAGATCTCGTGAGCAAACAGAGTTTGATGAAGAAAGAGCCCCTCCGTAGTGCGCTAAACATTGATCCCGAGAAAGAAATTGAGATCACCCATATCTGTCATGGCAAACTCCTCCTTGAGCTGTTGAGTGAGGCGCTGAAGTAAAGGGGATGAGGAGGGACTGAGTAAAATGTCATCTACATAGAGCAACAGATATGCCATGTCATTCCCTCGGGTGTAGACAAAGAGAGATGTATCACTCTTGCAGCCACAGAAATCCAATGTGAGGAGGAAGCCTACAAAGCGATGATACCAAGATCGGGGAGCCTGCTTAAGGCCATATAAATCCTTCTTCAACCGTTTTGGATCGGGTGACCATGGGGTGGCTGGGTATTGGGCCATGGGTTGTGAGTGGGGCGGAGGAGGGTTGGGCTTCGGTTCCGGGATGAGCAGGGGTGGGCCGTGTGTGGGGTGAGTGGGCCGTGGGTGGGGTGGATTGGGGAATGGGTTGGGTCGTGGGTATGGTGGAGGAGGGAGTGTGTTGGGCCGTGGGTTAGGGCGAATGGGGTTGGGCTGTGGGTGGAGTAGAGTGGGGAAGGTGTTGGGTCGTATGGTGGAGGTGGTAGGGCTTGGGGTCGTACTCCGTGGAGTCGAGGAAAGCCAGTTCATTGGGAGTGGAGGGGTGACTGTAGGGGTAAGTGTGTTCATCAAAGATGACATGACGAGAAACAATGACCTTATGAGTTTGGAGATCAAGGCACCGTTAACCACGTTGGTTAGTCGGATACCCGAGAAAAACACATCGAGCCGAGCGAGGCACTAGTTTGTGAGGAGCAGTGGCGGAGATGTTTGGGTAGCAGAGGCAACCGAATACACGAAGGTGGGAATATGTAGGGGGGGGACCATAGAAAACGTCGTGAGGTGTGCGGAATTTAAGAGTGGTGATGGGAAATATGTTGAAGAGGTGTGCGGCTATGGAGAGTGCCTCAACCCAAAATTTAGGAGGGAGGTTAGCTTGAAAGAGAAGAGAGCGGACAGTGTTGTTGATAGTACGAATGGTGTGTTCAGCATGGCCATTTTGTTGACTGGTGTGGGGACAAGAAAAACGAAAGGTGATGCCCAGACTCTCGAATATTATTTTGAGGGGGGTGTTTCGGTATTCGGTGCCATTATCGCACTGTACAGCTTTAATTGTGGTGTTGAATATATTTTTCACATAAGCAATGAAAGTCTTGAGATGAGAATACACATCAAATTTATGTCGCAAGGGAAAAATCCATAAGTAATGACAAAAATCATCCAACAGTAACATATAATGCTTAAAGCCTGTAACACTGGGGATGGGGGGTTGCCACAAATCAGTATGTAGGAGTTGAAATAGAAAAATAGAAATATGACTCGATGACATAAATGGGAGGCGAACATGCTTTCCCAATTGACACACATGACACAAGGAATTTTGAAATTGTTTATTAAGACACTGTGATAAACTGGGGACTTCATGAAGGACGGCGTGGCTTGGGTGACCCAAACGCCGGTGCTAGAGCTCCGGATCAGCGGTGACAGCATGGGCTTGGGCCTGGGTAGCTGGTGGGCTCATGGGGTAGAGTGGACCGGCATCATTGGACCGATGAATCACGGACCATGTCTCCATATCCTTCACATAAAAACCAGTGGGGTCAAACTCAACGGTAGAATTATTGTCGCGGGTGAATTGTCTAACAGAGATAAGGTTATGGATAATATGTGAGGATACCAGGATATTATGTAGGGACACGGAGGGGGAAGTAGGGAAGTGATAATCACCGGTAGCCATAGTACGAACTTTAGAACCATTACCAACAGTGATGTACGAAGATGAATTTAAAGAATGAGAACGAACATGAGAAAGTGTACCTGTGTCGGAGGCTATGTGATGGGATGCTCCCGTGTCCATGTACCATGTAGGGTCACGGAGGCTGAGGGTGTCAAAATTGTGGGCAAGGGCGGTGGGTGTGAGGGGAGGGGGGTTAACGGTGGGGTGTAGGGGTTATGTGGGGGGTATGCGGTTGAGTATGGGGAGGGTGGTGGCTAGCCGTAAGGATAGGGGGTGGCTGGCCGTAGGGATCAGACGGGTAGGGGCTGGTGTGTTGGGTAAAATAGGCCTGGGGTGGGGGTGGGTAGGGTAGGTGGGCCTAGGGCCGAGAAGGTCGGGATAGGGGCTGGGGTTCGGTGTCTGCCAGGGCTGTCCATGGGTGGAGCGGGGATTCGATCCGGAGCTTTGACCTCGACCACGGTTGCGGTGACCGCCAAGGCCACGACCACTGCCGCCGCTGTGCTGCTGCTGTCCTCGGCCGCTGCTGGGGCTGTGGGGCCCGCGCCCTCCGCCGGAGGGGCTGTGGAGGATGGTGCCGGGGCTGCTGGCCGAGAGTAAGGCCATGCCGGAGGAGTGATCATCGCTGCCCAGATCTACCTGTTGGCGTTCGATGAGAAGGAGCGCCGATCGGGTTTGAAGAAACGTCGGGGCCGGCATTTGAAACTAGAGAAATGACGTTTGATTCCGTATGTTGTCCGGCAGCCCCCGAAGAACCTGCAGCACTAAGTGTTGTTCGAAGACCTGGGCATCGACGTCATCCAACCAATCGGCTAAGTTTCTGATGGCTTGGCAATAGGCCGACATAGTGAGTGACCCTTTCGTTGTCGTCCGGAATTGGTGCTCCAATTGCATGGCCCAGGCAGGTTTGTTGTCGTGGAAGAGAGAGTGAATAGATTTCCAGAGTTCCGTCGCCGAATCGGTAGAGGAGAGGACAAGATCGGAAACCTCATCATTGATCGTGGAAAGAATCCACCCTTGGATAAGTGCGTGAAGTTGGTACCATTCGGTGTCGTCGGCGCTAGAGGGGGCCGATTTGCTGGTGAGGAAATCACCAAGGGAGAAGCGTCGAACCAAGAGAAGGAACAAATGACTCCACTTTTTATAGTTTGGCTCTTAGAAACTCAAGAGGATCGGGACGTGAAGCTTCACGTTAGAGATGGTTGTAAACGTCAAGTAAGGAGTGGAGGGTGGCGTGGTGGTAGATTTCTTCGAGGCGGTGTTCTTCTCGAACATGGTGGCGGCGTTGGGCACTAGGGCGCTGGGGAAGCTGTTGCCGAGGGAGAGAGACGCACTACAGGGACGGTGTTGGTGAGGAGGATCGTCGCTGAGGGGACGGCGGCAGCAGAGAGAAGCTGCCGCTGAAGATAAGCTGGCCGAGAGAGAGAGGGATGCCGGGAAAGAAAAGCAGCGTTAGGGTTTAGGTCTCGGAAAGAGGCTCCGATACCATGAAGAATTTATATTTTCCGTATTGATCTTGTGAAGTCAAGCCTCGTATATATACAAAATCACAAGTCCCCTAACTATGGTAGGATATAAACAATGAAACCCTATACAAAGGAAACCTACCATATATAAAAGATATTAAATATACAATAATATATTTAACAGATAGCTCCATGGCGCAATGCAAATGCTTTAAATCAGTGTATTTTCTGCATACTTTTCCTCACAATCGCTTTAAGAATTTCCATGGATCTACTTTGTTTTTATATGCCTCTTAAAACCCAGTCCTCGTAGGAATATGTTAGTAGAAGTTGCCTTGAATACAACTTCTTTAATTTTGATCCACAAGTAGCCTGAAGCCTCCTAAATAACAACTGGATTTCTTATAAGTTAGTTCGTTTCATGAAAAGTCTTCAGGACATGGTGATAATAAGGAGGCGTATCTTGTTAGTCCATAACAGCGATACAAAATGATACACACATGTGTATCTATATATACACACACATGTGTGTGTGTGCATATATATATATATATATATATATATATATATATATATATATATATATATATATATATATATATATAGACACACACACACACATATATAGACACACATATATGTATATCTTTGTGTGTATCTATATATTTATGTATGTATGTACGTTCACCATTTATTGTATTATTGAAATATTGATGTACTTTTATTGATATTATAGTAGAAAAGTTTATCCGAGAGGATCGTGGTTTTTAACCCATAGTTGAGAGGCATTTCCAAGTAAAAATATTATGTGTTCTGCCTTTCATTTCTCTGCATACTTTTCCTCCAATATGAAAAACGATTGTTATTGTTCGAAGGTAATTTTGATCAAGAGATTTATGTACTAAAAATATTATTAATTTTAACTGTTATGACATGTAATATATTGTTAATTTCCTTATATAGTTTTATATATTATATTCTATGTAAACGTTTTGTACATAAGAACAAAATCAAGCGTCAATAATGGAATGAACGGTATTTAACTTTATCACTCAAAAAGTACACTTGACTTTTATTTACGGACTATTATGCACTGTACTCCTACCCATGCACAAATTTGAAGTTTTAAATAACTTGCTCTTTATACTAATGGTTTGTAGGTTGCACTTAAGTTTTCTCAATTGCCAACCCATGTCATTGGTGAGGAAATTGACACCCAACGCTTATATGACGCTGTAAATGTTGTTTTGTCTCTTCAGGTAATATTCAACTTAACATGAATACATGCATTCAAAAATACATACATATATTCGAAAAAGCACTCCAAAAAAGTTTAGAATGAAATATATAAGTTTTACTTTGAACAAATATTTCTATATTTAAATTATAAAATATGCAGTTACTCCAAATAAACATAAATGTGGTGAAGGGTGTTAGGTTGAATCCAACCATTTGGGGGTGTATTTCCGTGTATAGAATGATTAACACCAATAAAAACGTTGTTGAAATCCATAGTAGCATCATGGATACAAGAATTGTTCATGTTAAAATTTACTGGTAGTGCTGTGATGATTCTTTTAGGTTTCTTATGAAAACCCTTTAATATATCTAAAGGGCCATCTGAATAACTGTGAGTGCAACTTTAGCTTCTAAAACATGTTTGAAATCAGTCACATGGTTCTTATCCATTATAGCAAGGTTTTTATCAACCGGAGTGAGCACATTTTTATTCAAAGTCTCCACTTCTGTTGTAATGCCCGGCCCCACAAACGAACACAAATCATTCTTGTTTAATTTTAGAGTTCCCCTTGTACTTTATTTCCACCTTTGGACCTCTACTCTTCAAACTCTGTAAGCGATTAAATACAGGTGGAGTTGGAAATGGGTGGTCAAAAAGGACAAAATTGTAGTAGGGAGAAATCATGCGCTCTAGCAGGAAATTGTAAGTTTGTGTTATAGCTCATAGGAGGTGGGGGGTCAATCGAATATTCCCACCATTGCGCAACACATTAAGGGAACATTCACATGTAAAGGTATAATGAACATGGTTCGTGAGTTCATACGCGGTGTGATGTTTGCATGATAGCAAAGCACAAAAATGTAGCTTTGCCAGGTCTCCACCAACTCTTACCCGTTCCAAAAAACATCTTTATAGACATGCCAAAGGATTTGATAGGGGGAATACCAAAAGCCTGAGGGAAGGACATGACTTTGGTAGTGTTTGACTAGCCCGTTTAACGAATTATAGCCACTTTTATGCTCCTTAGCCATCCCTACACAAAAAAGGATGTGGATAAATTATTTCTTGACCATATGCATAAGTTACATGGGTACCCGACATTGGTGGTCTCTGTCCAGGATCTTTTTTTTGCGAGCACCTTTTAGAAGGCGTTTAAAGGATTTCAGGGAATAACTATGAATTTACCGATTCTTATCTAATGATTATGTGCCGGCCATATATTTTCCTTTAATTTAAGAATAGATTAGGTTTGACTCGTTTATTATATATAATCATTGTATATTGTTTCCTTTTTTAAAATTGCAATCTACGTCTTGAAACGGTTTTATGAATCGATAGAGATCATAAAAAATTCTTAACCATAACCCACTTTTATGGTATCAGAGCTACAGTTCTGAAAATTATTTTTCTTCTTCTTTTTTTCTCGTTGTTCTTCCCTTTGTTCCTGCTGACAACCATTATCCGTTTCCACCATGACTTAAGTTGATGAACAGTCATCTTCTTCCACAGAACCAAACCCCATTACCCTACATCCTGTACATTCCTTAACCAACGTTTTAGACAAGCTGCTCATCCATATTCTTGAGACCGAAGCCAAAGCTCGTACCACTTGGTTAAAACTTGAATCATCTTCCTCAACAACAAGAAAGCTAAAGTTGCATCCCTTTAAACCAGGTTTGTAAATCTCACCCTTGCATCTTGCAGTTCTATTTATGACTATTGTAAGCAATTGAAAGACCTCGCGAACCAACTGACGGATGTTGACCAACATGTTACGTTATTGTGGCTAGTCTAACAACAGGTTCGTGGTCTTTCTAAGAGTTTGACACCACTGCATCTCTGATTAACTCCCAAAATGTCGATTGGGATCTTGCAAGATTCATGTTAAATGATGAGGTTATTCATCAGGCTGCGCGATAGCAACAATCTTTTTCTCTTCAGGTTGCTCTAACTGCTCAAACTAGCCCATCCTTTCCACCGTCCTCTCAACCGCCACCCACTAACCAGCAACAGAACAACAACATGCCCAACCAAAGCTCATATCAATCTAATTTTCAAGGTCAGGTTAGAAACTCCTATCGTTGGTTGAGTAAAGGATGTGCCTACATGGGGGATCCTATGGGTACCCCTTGGTCCTTTACACTTCAGTCTGCAAATCAGTCATACACGCTATTGGCCTATTAGAATACTCCACATTGCCCTACCCAACCCAAAACACATGGCTCCGTACTCCAACTCAAAACAGTCCTGCAGCTCACTACACAGGTTACTCAGGCCACCAGCCCTACAACCTAGCACCATCTTATCTTACAGCTCCATCAACTGGGTATAACGCACTGAGCCCTTCAGATCTCAACCAAAATTTTAAACCTATTCAACTTAATTACACTGTTCCAACTCTAATCATGGATATTGGAGTTGAACACCATGTCAGAGAAAATTGAGGTATGATTTGACACCCTAACTCATTTCCAATTAAAAATAAACTTTTAGTCGTTAATAGACATTGTTTACCAATTAAGGGTTTGGGTACTGGTTTTACTTATTGTGTTTAATAAAACCTATATCCTACCCAACATACTTTACATTCCAAAAGTCATTAAAAACTTATTGTCCGTCCGGTGTTTTACCCGTGATAATAATGTTTTGGTCGAATTTCATCCTTTTAGTTTTTCCTTAAAAGATCTCAAAATTGGATGACTCTTTTCCTGCCACAATAACATGTGAGATCTTTATCCAATCACTCTACCTACCCTTCTACCGCAAGCTTGTTCAATCGCATCCACTACTTTACCATGGCACGACTATCTCAGGCACCCTGGCACACACATTTTAGATGTTTTATCAATACTTTTTAGTTTTTATTATAATAAGAACAACCATTCTTATTTTTTGATTTCCTGTCATTTAATTAATAACAAACGATTACCATTTTATGAGTCCAATTCTTTTACTTTTCCCCTTTTGATATTACCCATTGTGACTTGTGGACATCTCCTATACCTAGCAAAACCGGCTATAAATATTACATGGTGTAAACTGAGAATTTCTCTGATTTTATGTGGGTTTATCCCTTAAAACTTAAATCAGAACATTTACCACCTTAACAAAACTTCACCACTTAATAGCCACCCAATTTAACTGTTACATCAAAACATTTCAATGTAATATAACTTTGGCAGTGAATTTGATAACCATGCTTTCATAAGTTTTGCAGAACACCATGGAATCTTGTTTCATTTCTTTTGTCCACAAACCTCTTCCAAAAATGGCCATGCCGAACATAAGATCCATCTCCTAAATGACATCATCCGTTCACTCCTCATCCATGTGCAAGTACCATCTGTGTTTTGGGTTGAGGCTCTCCACACTGCCACCTACCTTCACAGCATACTTCCCACCAAACGACTAAATTTTATCACACCTACTTTGCCGTATATCTATTTCACTTAACATACGATCACCATTGTGTGTTTGGATGTGCTTGCTACCCAAATACTTCTGCCACCCAACCCCACAAACTACAACCTTATGCCATTCGTTGCATATTTCTAGGGTACCCCTTGACTTTCGGGGCTACCGATGCTTTGACCCTACTACCAGAAAGGTTCAGATTTCTCGTCATGTCACTTTTGGCAAAAAAATCATTACATACACTATTCCTACCCCACCCACTACCTACAGTTTCCTTGAAAACACCACCCCGACATGTTTCACCTTCACACGGCCTATCCCACATCCTACCACCACCCAACCACATCTCCACTCCACATTTCCAGGCAAATGATACATGGAAACTTTGTTCCTACACATCTTGATCGACTGATTATCCGGTGTATTTAGCTCTTCCAACACAAGTTTAAATTGGACAGATCACTTGAGCGATACAAAACATGTTTTATAGTTAACAAGAAGTCTCAAATGGTTGGTTTTGATTGTGAGGACACTTTTAGTCTGGTTGTAAAACTGGCTACTATGCAAATAGTCCTATCTATTGCAATTTCTCGTTCTTTGCCCATTCATCAACTAGATGTCTCAAAAGCCTTTTTTGCGTGGGCACTTAAACAAAACTATTGTGATGCATCAACCTCTAGGTTTCATAGATATGTGTTGTCCTAACTTTGTGTGTGGTTTGAAAAAGTCCCTTTACGGGCTTAAGTAGTCGCCTCAGGGATGGTATACTCGCTTTGCTACTCTTTTTTCACAGGGTTTTTGCAACATGGTTTGGGACAACTCCTTGTTTGTTTTCTCTCTCGAGACTAAAGTTGCTTATTTACTACACTATGTAGATGATATACTGCTCACTACTTCAGCTGACTAATTATTATAGGGTATTATTTTCACGCTCTCACGTAGTTTGCAATGAATAGTTTTGGTCATTTACATCATTTTTTGGGAATCAAAGTTATCAAGATTTCTATAGGACCAGACTCATTATACTAAGGACATCATATCTCGTGCTTCTATGTCCTCTTGCAAATCTTGTGCCACACAAGTAGATTTATCCACTAACCTAAGCACTTTTGATGGTCCTCTTTTCCTAACTCAATTTTATATCAGGGTCTTACTAGAGCATTACGGTATCCTACATTTACATACCTACACATCTTCTATGTTATTCAGCATATTTGTCTTTTCATCCATGACCCGCAAGATCTTCACTTTTCCTTTACCTCCGCTATTTATACGGCATTATTGATTACGGTATATGAATTGGCAAGTCCAATATACATTCTTTGATTACCTATTCAAACGTAGATAGGGGAAGATCTCCAGACTCCCGTTGTTGCACAGTGGATATTGTGTGTTCCTCGGCAAATACTTAATTGCATGTTCCTCAAAACAGCAACCTAACATACTTTTTCGCAATCCAGTGCTGGAGCTGAGTATTGAGGCGTAGAAAATGCCGTTCTGTACGCTACTTTGTTGTGCAATTTACTTTTTGAGATTCATATTCCGCTATGGCAGGCCTCTGTGATTAATTGTGATAATGTGTTTGCAGTATACGTGACTGGCAATCCTTTCCAACATCAGCAAACCAAACATATAGATATTGAAATTCACTTCATACAGAAGAAAGTTTAGGTCGGCCAAATTCGAGTTCTACATGTGCCATTTTTTCAGTATGCTGAGATCTTCACAAAAGGACATGTTCGACAGTTGTTTCTGTCCTTTTGCTCCTGCTTGATCATTTGTAATTTGCTTGCTCAAACTGCGGGGGAGTCTTAGCCGATGATTATGTGTCAACGATATATACTCCTTTAATTTTGGTATAGATTACTTTTCGCTCATTTATTTATATACTTATTGTATATTGTTTTCTTTTTTTCATATTTTAATCATCGTATTTAAAAAGTATGGTTAATCAATAGAGATCATCAAGAATTCTTAACCATAAACTACTTTTACCTATGACCTTCCATCCTCATACAAACATGCAAAATGAGGTGGTCAATCAATGTTTGGAGGGGTATCTCAAGTGCATGGATATAGAAGGACCTCACATGTGGGTTCGGTGGGTTTTGTTGGTCGAGTGGTGGGTATAACACCACCGTTCACTCAGAGATCAGTGGGCTCTATTCCCATATACTCCCTTTGTCCACCATAAATCTTCTCAGTCGGGTCAAACTTAACTTACTTTGTTTGCTTATTTTTACTATTCATTTCATAAAATAATATAGTTTTGTCACATGTAGTTTTGTAGAATTTTTCATGTACTTTTTTATTATATAATTTTTATTTTTAAATTTTATCCTTACAATCAAACAAATTGAATTGAAAATAAAGTCGGTCAAACCTCGTAACGCACAATGAGAAGATTTTTGGTTGACGGAGGGAGTATATATTAAAGGATAGATGTATCAGCACCCAAAGTGCAAGACCTCACGCGAGATAGAGAAAACACCCTCAAACTCTTAAAGGAGTAATTAATGAAAACTTAGAACCAAACGAAGCAACAAGTAAATAAACATTAGACTGAACAACAGTTAGGTTAGGATATGAGCCTAACCTTACACTAAAACCACACATGTAGAACATTATGAGGATTCATAAGTATTTGAAGCTCCTGCCAAAGTACTTAGAACCATTTTTTATCATTGAGGAGATTGGTAATTAAGGTAGCCTATAATTCTCATCTTTATGATGAGACTTAAATCCATCCAGGTTTATATATATAACTATTCAAACAAGCAGCTAGCTAGACCGTCCGACAAGATCATTCCCATTCGAAAGGATTCCTGGTTTCTCTTGTTATTTGAACAAGTGCCGGATCAAAAGTTGGTAAAGAGAGGTAGCAAAACAGCCATGAAAGTACACATCGATGGATACTCCTCACAATCATTTTAAAATTTTATTTTTTATCTATTTTTTAATTATTACAATGCTTTTTTTTATTTTCTAAATTATAAGGTTATAATTTTTTTATTTTTTTATTATTAGTTTTTATTTATATTATTTCTATTATATTTAATTTTTATTATTTATTCTTTTTATTTTTTTTATTATTTATTATTTGTAATTTATTTACTATATTTATTATTTCTATAATATATGAACTTTTTGTTAATACTATTATTACTATGTAAATTATTATCTATTACAATAATTTTATTATTTATTTATTTATTTTATTATAATAATAATATATTTTTACTATTAAATTTATTTATTATTTTATAATTATTTTTTTTTATTTTTAATTTTTTTATTATATATTTACTTTTATTTATTATTATTATTTTACTTATTATTTTTATAATTTATTTATTTATTTTATTAGTATAAATTTTTAATTATTATTAAGTTTTTATGGAGTATTTTTATCTATAATGTTTTATTTTTCACATTATTTATTATTATTATTATTATTATTATTATTATTATCCGTTTATTTTTATTATTTTTGTCTGTTTTTTATTTGTTTAATGATAATGTGAAGAAAAAATTTATGAAGAAGAAGAGGATATAAAGAAAGGAGAATTTGTCTGATTTAAAAGGATTCATTTGGAGGGAAGGAGAAGGAATTGAAACTAAAAATTAGAATCCCCTCCTCTTCATATTTTTAAATCAAATAAGGGATGGACTCGGGTTTTGTTCCCTCTCCTCCCCTCAATCCAAATAGACACTTAGAGCCTCTTAAACCGGTTAAACCCGAAACCGATTAAACCCGAAATCGATTAGACCCAAAACCGATAAGACCCGAAACTGATTAGACTCGAAATTGATCAAATTCATTACTATTTAATTTATCAAATAAACTTGGAGAAAAAAAAAGAATTACCGATATATTTTACATATGTTGATGTGTTTCTTAAAAAAATATTCAAATTATGGGTGCAAACCGTGCAACTACTTTCATGTACAAATCTTTTACTCTATATTTTATAACTTAAGTTAAAGTGTTTATTTATTTTTTCGTCTTTGAACTTAAAGTTTGACCAACATTGTCTCTTCAAAAATATTAGCAAAACATATTGAAAAAAATACATTTAAAGTGTTTTTTGATACCAATAATTCGGTAATAACTTTTACTCTGTATACTTTAAGTCATTATATATTTTTATATATAGTTATTCAAATATTTGACACACAAAATGAAATGGATATTTAAATTCATATAGATGAAGAACAAAGTAGAATGTTACCCAAAAAGGTCGTGCCAAAAACTTTAGGAGGGAAAACTTTAGAATGTAAATAATTAGTCAATTATGCAAGTGTTATTTTTTATGTACGTCCGTGTTAAATAATAAAATAACTACGGAGTATGTCATAAATTGACTACATTTATTATGTGATACTATTGATTTATTAGTATATATTTAAAATATACTTGAACTAATATAAACCTAAATCGATACAAACCCGAATCGATATAAATTCGAACCGATACAAACCCGAACCGATATAAACACGATTCGATATAAACCCTAACAGATACAAATCTGAACCAAAACCAAACCGAAACCAAAACTAGTCAAACTAAAATAAATCCAGAACCGAACCGACCCAAACTGAACCCCCGAGCCGATTATAAAATATATCCAAAAAAGACCCGAACCAAAAAGATCTGAACTGGAACTGAACTGATTGACCAATTGTCAGGTCTTGTCATGGTGAGCCGCTATCATGTTCGAACTGCCGGAGATTAAAGTCCACTATGAAAATATATATTTTCTGTGTCCCGGAATTATCTTTTGCGATTGACTTGGCATACTTTTTAATAAAATAGAACATTGGTGGTTGTGGTTTGTGTAGAGGAAAGAGAATTGATATGAACCACATATTTGTTTTCTTAAAAGAAAAGGTTATGAAAATTTAGAGACAATTCAAATAAGAATGAATGGAGATAATTATGAGACAGAGGAAGTATGTATCCATTTAGAATCTAAACAATTTTCGGTACCATCAAAAGTTCTTCTATAGAATATCGTTTACGTCAATGAATAACGAACTATTCCCGACATCCCTAGAAAATTGGTCTAGTTACTATTTCGTACTTTCGATAGCTTTTGTTTTTGTATGCCTTTTCATGGTTTATTTGAAAAAATAAAACATTTTTGTCACCGGCCACTTATTTTGTAGAGTTTTTAGTACTCCTTTCGTCTCAATTTATAGTGCCTGTTTCGATTTACGATGTTTGACTTAAACTATTTTCAAATCATTTTATATGACAAATGGTGTAGAGTTAAAAGTAAAAATTACATATTAAAATACTACATCAAAAGATCTACAAAACTAGTAGTGACAACAATACTTTATTTTATCAAATTACTAACGAAAACAGAGAAAGAAAGTGAATGAAGTTTGACCCTGTGAATAGTAAACATGCACTATAAATTGGGACGAAGGAAGTATAATTTTAAAATATGTGATTTGTCTATTTTATTTCCTTACCATTTTGTAAATAAAACTAATTTAAGAGAGATTAAATTTTCACGTTGTTTGAAAGAGACCATTTTTTATGGGTGGAGGGAGTAATAATTTTAATTCTTGTGTTATTCTATCCTAAGTTTGTAAATTTAGATACATACTAGAATAAGAAATCATCTAAAATAGGAGTAAAATATTTTAAGTAGTTATTGTAAGGAAAAAAGACTAAATAGGATTAAAACATTGAAAATATATCAAAATAGGACTTCCATATTTTTATATCCAAAATAGCAGTAAAAATGCATTTACATTACCAAATATTGTAATGTACATTACCAAAAAGTATAGTAATGTGCACATTTACAATGTCACATAACCACAATGCGAAGTGCTATTTCAAGAATAAAAATATAAAACTCTTATTTTGATATTTTTTTATGTTTTAGTCTTATTTGAAGTAATTTCAATTATTGTAACTTATATTTTGAAGATAAAATCATAGAGTTCATATTATATACTTTATCTATATTTTATTCATATTTTAGTTTGTTTTCTTTTAAAAATAAGAACCGCTTTAACGAGAAGTGCCGAGTGAGTGACGGACGACTGCGTGAGTTAATAATTTGTCTTGTAGTCCAATGGGCGCATATGAAAATTAAATTTTAGAAAACAAGATTTGTTTATTTTTGATTTTTTTGTTCAAAATAGGTAAATTTTGACTCCAATTTAAATAAAATGATATTAGATATTGATATAAAAATGGTTTTATTAGATTTGTAATATCAAATATTTTCAAAATATTATTTTATCAAATTAATATACAATATATATTTTATTTAATTATATGTCAATGGTTGAAAACAGTTGACCAGAAAAAGTCAAAATTCGACAAGTATTTAGGGACGGAGGTAGAACAATACTGCTCAATAACAATAGTTTTAATGTAATGATTTTTTGTTTGACAGAGTGATAATGGCGGATTTTTTGCATGGGAGCCCAGACGAACATATGAGTGGGTAGAGGTAAGGCCGTAAGGGATTACGGAGTGTAAGCCAATTAATGCATGTCATTATACTCCATGCCTATATTTGGATATAGGGACTACTAGCTTCATTTCAGAACAACTTTTTAGTTATGGGCGATAAACATATATATGAGCATTCCAAACACTAGACAACAATATAGATTCTAGAATAAATGAGTTATTGATAGTGTAAGACCTGCGCTCCTCTTCATGAGAGTGGTCTTCAATTCTAGACAAATGGGATGCTCTCCAATTACATTCATTCTCATGAAATTTAGGATAGAGTAGGGATTACTAGATTGGGTGATAAAATATTTGGCTTAAACCACATTAAAAGATTGAATCTAATCGATTACTTAATTCAACTAAAAAGCTTATATACCGATTACTTTTCTGTTCAACTTCTGATGTGAGATAGTAACTAACACTCCTCCTCAAGTGAACAACCAGTTCATTTTGAATCTAACTAGTTGACCATTTGGAAATGGATTCTCATCTCCTTGATTTTTTTGCGCCAACACCTAAAGGAACACAAGCCGCTGGGTATGGACATCCAGATGAGCAATCGCATTAAACGAGTCATAGGCCGTTGGGTACATACTCCATATACAGACAACTAGGCTAAAGACAAATAGGCCTCTAAGAATGAACGTCTAGACGGACACCTTGGCAAACGAGGTGGCTCGAAACATTCTCCGATACCATGATGAAACTTAGGATGGGGTATGGATAACAGGATTGGGCAATAAGACACTTGGGTTCAAACACATTAAAAGGTTGAATCCAATCGATTACTTAGTTCAACTCAAGAGCCTATATCCGTCCCGATCTCTTTTCTGTTCAACTTCCGATGCGGGATAGACTCTAACACACTCCCTTTTTTGTCTCGAATTTTCATATCAAATTCTTGGAAAAGTAACACCTGCCGAATGAGTCGAGGTTTGGCCTCATTTTGCAAAAAGGTATTTGAGTGTGGCATTATCAGTTTACACAAGAACCTTGCTTCCGACCAAATAAGATTGAAAGTTTTCCATGGAGAAGACAATCAAAGGAAGCTCTTTTTATGTATTAGCATAATTGACTTGCAATTCATCCAATGTGTGACTTGGATAGTAGATCGCATGAATGATGTTGTGACGCTTTTGCCCAAGCATTGCCCCTATGACATAATCACTAACATCACACAAAAGGATGAAGGGAAAATCCCAATCGAGTGATTGTATGACTGGTGTCATGCAAAGCGTTCTTCTTAATCTCAAAAACGCTTCAAGACAAGCACAATTGAATTCAAACGTAACATCTTTACAAAGAAGGTGAGTGAGGGGTTTAGCCACTTCGGCAAAGTACTTGATGAATCGACAATAAAAGTTGATATGCCAAAGAAAACTTCTTATTCCCTTTACCGATGTAGTGGGGTGAAGTTTCTCCATAACCTTAATCTTGGTCGAGTTGACTTCTATACCTTTGGCTAGACTTTATTGAAAATTCGCGGGGTCCAGCCGGAATTACCAATTTAAAGAAATGTTACCAGGTTTATCAAACAGCCTGCTGGAAAGGTTGTTGTTGCACTATCACATAAACAAATGAAAAATAGAATGCTATAACACCTTCTTGATCACATTCACACGCACAGAATATAATGTTAAAGTAGTAATAGTGCACAAGAATTGTTTACGTAGTTCGGAGCAATATATCCTACATCTGCGAGGTCCACGTCCATGTAACATCCCTTCACTAGATCATTGTAGAGTTTACACTTTCAACAAACATTAGACTCTATCTAAGTATTGAAAGTAAACCTCTTACGAATGACACAACAGAAAACTCGATTTGTACTCAACTCTTTGGCTAGTTACAACTTATCCCAAATCTTCTTTGAGGACATGTTAACAGCCTATCTCTAGAGTATCTCGATTCCCCTTCTGGAAAACTTTAAGAATCAGCATTTCATATGTATAAGAAAGTCATTATAATCAATAGATCTAAGTCTAGTTTCACCCTCAACTGCACATGAAAGAAAATAAATCTGATCAATGTTCTGTGTAGTGTATCTGGTAGCTCTCACTAATTCTATTCTGGAAAAATAATTACGCTTACTCCTTTTTCTCGTTACCTTAAAAAATAAGCATCTTGAAACTATATAGGCTGCCGAAAAAACCTAGTTGAGTCCCAATCAACCTCTGCTTGTCGTGAAGCCTTTTGTAGCAAGAATAGTTCCACATGCTCCAAGTGTTCCGCAGTTAGACTCTTGTAATGATATGATTCTTCTTGAGGACAAAATGTACACAAGTGAGGTTACGATCATCAAGACTCTCCAAGAATCACTTGTGTTGGAGACTTTTCCACAGGCGCTAAGATTTCATAAACCAGGATGAAGGACAAGTTGCTACAGGTCTAAAATAACCAAAACGGCTAGCTACTAACACAACATGCCTATACTAGATTGTAAAAAAATGCCAACAAGAATCATACAACATGTTTACATAACAACATAAGGGAACTAACAATCTCCCCCTTTGGCTAATTTTTGACAAAGAACAATCACTACTCAACCATTTTGAACATCTTCTCCCTTTTTTTGCATATAAAATAAAGATCAATATTCAACATGATCAAGAGTAGGTACAATAACAAAATTAGAAGAAAAAAGAGATGTACCTACATCACGTCATCTTGTACGACACCCCCTAAGGATAAAGCAGTCAGCCATAAACCGAAAGCCTTTGATAAATTAGTCATCTTAAAGGTACGTGTTTGAATATTATTCCCCATTGCTTCCCTGCGAAACTGTCCTCTTCTCCATCATCCTCTGCACTACCAGAGCCTTCCTTCCCCTCAGTGTCTCTCTCCTCAGCGTCTGGTGCCTCTGTTCTTTCCATATTCAGTAGCATCACTAGTTGGCTCTTTTCTGATTCCACTCCATCCTGCATCTTGTGACATTTTCTCAGCTGCTGTTTGACTTGCAGCATTTCTCTTCCAGGAACTTCACCAACGAAGGTTACCTGCCTGTTCTGATTGAAGAATTACCTAGTGTCTTCCCTTAAAGTATCGTCCATCTACCTGAAGCAAGGGCTCTTTTGGTTCAACTTCTTCATGGTCTTCTTTTTTGAATCCCTGTGACACCGAGATGCTGTATATGAGAGTTGGATAGTGAAACCCTATGGAATTCATCTCTTACTTCTCAGGGGCAAACAACATCACTTGCTCAAACACTATCTTTCCAAGATCATGGTCTACTAATTCATATATACATTAGAATAAAATCATTGACGATAACCAATAATTGAAAATTTTAATCATTTACTTTTTAATATTCAATATAAATAAAAGAGAATTATTATTAAAATATCTAATCATTAGAAAATACTAATGTTCTGCTACAAAATATTGCATTTTTTTTACATCTTACATAGTAAATTTATACAAGAAAATATGAATATACATTGTTTATGCTACACAATATTAAATTACATTTTTTCTAAATTTAAAACAAAAAATTAGAAATTTATGTTTATAGTTGTCACAAGTATTACCTTTGAATCCTAGTTGCATGATATTGCTCCACACGGTTATGTCATGAGCATTATTACATTCAAATCTGACATTGACAAATGTGTAAAGATTATCAAATGAAAGGTTGCAATAATAATAATGATAATGATAATGATAATGATAAGCCAGGGTGGGTGTTATATTTTTTTATGACTAGACATGTTCGTTCATGACTCCATCCATCTCTTCCCACAAGTTGATAATAATAGTAGGTTAAAATACCAACAACAAAAAGAATAATAATAATAATAATAAGAAGAACAACAACAAGAATAATAATAATAATAATAATAATAATAATAAGAACAACAACAAGAATAATAATAATAATAATAATAATAAGAAAAATAATAATAATAATTTTGATAGCATCTGATCTGATCTAATTTGATTTGAACTTATTAGATCTGATCTCATCTAGTCTGATTTTAATAAGAAAAACTAATAAGCAAAAAAAAAGTTGAACGGAACGTGACCTAGATCTAGCTAGACCTAACAAATTGATTGGTCGGGTCGAGTTCGGGTTTAGTCATTTCAGGTTGGGTTACATCGGATTCGAGTTAGTAGGGGTTCAGGTTGAAACTACATGTTTATGACCTAATATCATCGAGTTTAGGTTGACTCAACGGGTTATGAGATTTAGTTTTATGATATTAGAATTCATACAAGCACTTGCATTTTCTACTAAAAATTAATAAAATGTCAAAAATGACGTATTGAATCTCTTAGATTATTTTATTTTGAACTTTTAATTACTTTTTAGATATATTTAAAAATATTATGAATAATATAAAAAATTAAATAAGTACCACTATATTAAAAATGTAAAATAATTATGTATATCAGTATATCATTAAAAAGTTGTTTAAAAATATAAGTTTGTGCATTAAAAATGAGTACTAGGAAAAAAGTTAAAACATAACTTTATTTTCTATACATTATTTTTCATACTATAGTACCATTATTTTGAAAAATCTTACGTTAGAGGGTCGATCAGATTGGATTCGGGTTTGGTCAGGGTTGATGTAGTTTTAACGAGTCATTTTGAGTTTGTTTATCTTCCAATTCGATCAGCAAAATCCTTTTTCAAAACTCATTATTTGCGAATCGGGTCTTAGTAAAAATAAGTCGGATCAATTTTTACCATGTCTATAAATCTAGCCTATGACGGGAGATTTGGAGTCATAAGACAAGGTTACTACGGAGTCTTTTGAGTGCAGGGGGCTCCCAATCAATCAATTGTCCCATACTCCCCATATACTGCTTTTAGGCTCTGTTCCATATACCTGATCTGATTGAATCTTATCAGAATTTTTGAAGTTTTGATCTAATCTGATCTAATTGAGTCTGATATGATCTGATCTGATTGAATCTGATCTGATCTAATTGAATTTGATCTAATCTAATTGGATCTGATTTTATCTACTCCCTTCGTCCCCTAGTTTTTGTCCACTTTTGACTTTTGGAACTGTTCATCTAAGCGCTTTGATTCATCAAATTCTCTAAATGTGTAAGCCTAAATATAGTCATGTGTGATCTTGTTTGATTTGTCTTAACATATAGATTATTAATATATAATTTCTATAATTTTTTAATATAAAAATTACAAGATAAAATGGATTAAAGAAGTGCATTGGATGGTGTGTAAAAATGAAAGTGGACAAATACACTGGGACGGAGGGAGTAATTGGTTTTGGTGTAAATGAATTTAAATTTTATTTAAATTAAACTTAAAATTATTACAAAATTTAATAGTTTTAAAGTATTACAATTCATATATACATAAAAAAGTAAAATAATAAAATTAGCTAATCATTGATATGTTTAAACTTTTTTAAAATATCAAACATCTTTTCAATATCACAACTTTTTTAATTTCTGTAAAAACTAAATAATCGGTATTAAAACAACTAAATATTAGAAAGTATTGATGCTATTCTACAAAAATTTCACATTCTATATTCATATTATATAATAATATATTTCATGTTACAGATTAAAAATCATATAAAATTTTAAACACTAATATCCTTTTCACCTCTATCAATTTTGCCATAAACTTACCCTTGTGTTTATTATATCATCTTAAAGTTTAAAACTAAGTCTTTTTAAGTAATAAATATTTATGGTTTTGAAAACTAAGTTTTGTATAATTATTTTATAAACAAGTATTTTAAAATAACTCTTTTTAGAGTATGAAAAATACAAATTTTTTATCATTTAACATTGTTTCCATCCATCATTTCTATCCTACAAGCTAAGAAATTATTAAAAATAATGGTTTCTAGTTGAATAATAATAATAATAATAATAATAATAATAACAGTAGTAGTAACAACAACAACGATAATAGTAATATAATAACAATAATAATTAAAATTATAATATTAATTGAGATTTAGGTGTGTGTAGTTTTAAATAAAGTAATGTGATTTAATCAAATAATAGTAATTATTATTTTTTCATTGAAAAATATAAATATTATTTTTTTATATTTTTTCTTGATTTGATATTATTGGATTTGATCTGGTCTGATCCGATCTGATTGGATCTGGTGTGATCTAATTGGATCTCATCTGATCAGATTGGATCTAGTCTGATCTGATTGAATCTGATCTGATCTGATTGAGTCTAATTTGATTGGATCTGATCTGATTAAGTCTGCTGTGGTGTGATCTGATCTGATTTTAATAAGAATAAGTAATAAGTAGAAAAAATAAGTCCCTCTTAGTTAATAAGTTGTGGGGTCCAACTCTCTACTCTATGTGTCTATCTTGGGTTGTTGGACCTATCAATTAATTCTTAGGCCCAATATATATGAGTAAACGTTGATATCTATTTTGAAACGGAGGTTCTATATGGGTCACATTTTTTTGCGTAAAAATGAAATTAAAAAAGTATAAAATTTCAATGTTACATATGTGCAATGCTCTAAATAGATACCGTTTTATTTATTTATCATATTTACTAATTTTTCAGAAGCTCAATCCTTTGGAGTTCTTTGAAGACGTTCTAATCGAGAGGGAGTGAGACTCATTCATCCTTGGCACCCATATCTATAAATATAAATAGGGAGTATAAACCATGTTAAATCCACCACTAATTTGACAAAATCCACTCCAACTAAATAGTTAAGGGTAAATATGTCTTTTCAATCTAATGGGTGGATATAGCCAAATGAGTGGTGATTTAGCAATAATCAATGTATTTCGTGTGAGGCAAATGATTACCAAAAAAAGCATTAATTTTTCTCCTCTTAATCTACTCCGTATTTTATACACACACACACACACACACACACACACACACACACACACACACACACATATATACACATATATACATCTATATATATATATGTGTATATATGTGTATATATATATGTATATATATAGACACACACACACCAATATATATAGGGGCCAGTTATCGTGAGAATGCACCTTGTAGAGAGAAATGAGAATAAAATCTAGCCGTTGGATCTGATGCATCGTGCGACTCAGAATGCATCATGCGCTCAGATTTTGAGATACTGTATTTTCAAAGGATGTTGGTGCATTTCGACATGATGCATTTTCAAACCATTTTGGTGCATCTAATTTTGATGCAATCTGACCCTTAGATCTCACAATCTAAAGCACCAGACTAATTCTCATTTCTCTCCTAAGATCGCATTTTTCACCAGAATATATATATATATATATATATATATATATATATATATATATATATATATATATATATATATATATATATATATATATATATATATACATATATATGATACAATTTGATAATAATTTGTCTTATTGAATATTGAGAGATATGTTCCTATATATAGGGATTACAAGAGAGAGTCCTATTCCTAGTAGTAAAGGAATAAAGTAATTATGGTAATACAAGAATAAGGAAACTAAATAATATTAGGAGTCTTCCTATTATCCCCCCGCAAGCTGATCAACGGATACGAGGGGCAGCTTGGAACACAAATAATGGAACGGAGTCGGCGGAAGCGGTTTTGTCAAGATGTCAGCAAGCTGCTCAGAAGAAGGAACATGATGTGTAGTCATAGTGCCAGCCATAACCTCGTCTCGAACAAAGTGACAGTCAGAGCCAACATGCTTCATGCGATCATGGAGAACGGGATTCTTGGTGACACAGATTGTGGACTCATTATCACAATAAATCTTAGGTTTCGTAGGCGGAACATGCAGAGAAT